TATATTTTTTTTTTTTAAACTAAGAATTGTAATGGATATAGAAGACTTCATCTAAAACATCTATCATACTCTATGTTTGTTACAGATCACCAGAGAAAAACCAGTTTTATTCATTCTTTCATAAAAATACAAGTCCGTTGCATGTGTAGTTTGCTATGTTTTCTTTCTCTTTTTACATAAAACTGGGCTATAGTATATTATAGTACATGACTTAGGAATAAAGTCAATGTACTTCAGAAATAACTGTAAAAAATAAAATCACAAATTAACAATCAGTTAATCTGCTGCAACTGGAAATATATTTGCTAAGCACAAATATTCGAGAATGTCTATGTTCAGTGTGATCCACAAAGGCAGAATATTTTAAAGACCCCTTGTTTATTTAAAGACCCCTTTCCTTGTTTATTTGAAATGTATTTTAAGGGATTCCTAATTTCAATTTTCTTTTAAGATGATTCATCACATCTTTCTTTACCAAGTTATGCTCAGCAGTACCTCACAAAATCTTTACTGCTAAGGAAATTCAGTCTGTAACAGCAGAATGGTGAATAAAGCTTATTAGCCTTTCTTCAACATTCAAAGAAAAATACTGGCACTGATTTATGGAAACTTGTTTTGGTGAACAAACTACTATTGAGAAGCATCCTGGGGGGGGCACGCACGCGCACACACACACACACACACACACACAAAATCAGGTGGCAGTTCCTGCTCACTTTTCAAAGCTTATACTTCCTGGCAGCGCAGATTCCCTACAGGATATGTCTACTTCCTCCTAGATTTTTCTCCCCTGCCCCCACCCTGCAGCAAAGTGTATCACAAAAAAGAGCAAGTGAGAAGTGTTTTGCATTTCATCTTTCTGAGGATTCTTTCCCTAGCACCTACATAACTGACAGTTAGAATTAGACATGATATTAAAATCAGTTACTGAAGTCCTCTGTCTTCCACTGTGCCCAAGGCTTGTAATGGTCTGAAACCAGCTAGAATACACAGTAATTGTCATTCAGAGAGTCTATCCTAGAACGTCATGCTTCACTGGAGAAGACTGAGTTTCCATTTGAAATCAACAAATTAATCCAAGACAGGTATCTGAAAGGGCAAGTTTAATAGGAAGCAGCTACTGGGCTCTCAACCATGATAAAATGTTATTGCTGTTTCCCTGTAAATTGGCTGGGAACATATGATACTTTCTGCATAAGAGCCCCATTGCTGTTCAGGAGATATACAGCTCAAGCCATCAAAAGGATGACAGTCTGTCAGTCCCCATAATAACTTGCCACTGGATGTGGTTCGAGAGTACGTGCATGCATGCTTGTGGCTTTACAATTGCTGGAATGTTCTCTGGTATAAACAGAGAACTGAATTCATTGCCCTGACCACATATAAAATGCAACTCAAATAAACATCACTATGTCAAATCTACTCACCTCTAAAACACAAGAATGTTAAATGAACTTTTGGGAAAAGTAAAAATGATGCATAAATTGTTTAAAAAAATTAAGAATTAGGCTGGGGATTCAGCTCAGTGGCACCACACCTATGCCTCACAAGTACAAGGTCCTGAGTTCAATCCTGAATACCAAAAAGAAAAAAAAATTAAGAATCTAAATCTTTGCCTTCACTATAACCAAGGTTTTAAGAGCCAAAAAAGTTTGACTTTGTATTCTTTGTAATTACTTATAATCTTTGTTTTTATGTAAGAATAATTATGTCACCAAGCTGGAATGTTTGTATCACAGGAATAGATCTAGAAATGAAATAACTAAAACCATGTCAATTGTAATCAGTCATTCACTTATTCATCAGTGCTTGCTCAGATCTGCTGCTATGCACAATCAAGAGATTAAAAAAAAAAAGCTAAGAGAGATGAATATGCACACCCATATAACTTGCAGCTGAGGCGGACATATTAGGTCCCAGGCACTCATTCACTTCTTCTTTCTCCTCCTCATTAATTTAATCACATCCTCATCAAGTGCTTGCTTTTTGCCAGGAATGTTCTTAAGGTTACAGCCACTAACAGACAGCTATTCTCCCTTGTGCAGCTTACTTTCTAGATGGAAAGTCAGGCAATAAACAAACAAATATATAATGTCAGCTAGTGAGAAATACTATGAGGAAAAATATGCAAGTACAAGTTAATTCAAATAACACCTATCTACAACCACAAAAAAAAACAATAACATACACTGAGTACCTACTATGTGCCAGGAAGTGTTTCAAAGGACTTACATAGATTGACTCAATCTTCACAATGACCAGTGGATAGATACTATTTATTGCCTTTTGTAAGTGAGAAAAGCAGAGGTCAGTGGCACAGCTGGGATGCAGAGCTAGGTCAATACTCAAACTCTGAGATTCACTACATTGTGGGGGTGGTGACCTCAACAGTCAGCCAGGCAACATGACATTCTATCAGTTTATTAAGAAATCTGGTCAAATTTGTTTTGTAAAAGTTTACTATCTGTTCTACTTCTTAGGGCATACGACTAAGAGACTTCAGTCATCATACAAAAGAAAAGGCAACATCTAAGAGCAGTAATCAAGAAACTAGAATTACTCTTGTGGGAATGTTTTCATCCTGAACAGCTTTCACCTGTTCAACGTAAGTTTTAAGCTTCTTTTGAGGGAAAAAAATAGTATGGTGTTCGCTGGATGGACCTTAATCTGGTTGGCAAAGCAAATAACCTGTTATAATACCAATAATTAAAAAGCAATCACTTTCCAAATAGAGCAAAAATAAAAACAAAACACATTAACAATGCTGCTCCTATGTGATGCACAGGAACAAAACCTCTGTACTGCAAGTAGGTCAATTTCCAGGCCATAAAACTACTTCACAGCCTTAACTAGGAACCCAGTTAGAAAATAGAAAGGTCCAATAAAAAAGAATCTCAAAGTATATTGTATACCAATATTTCTTACTCCTTTTTTTTTATAACATTTAAAAATTTCACTAACACCCATAAAGACTCACTGTAAAAGAGCACAGGGTCAATAAGAATTTTAAACTATAAGATTTTATTCTTCTATTGATGAGAATAAAGGAAACAGTGTCCCAGAAAAAACAAAAACAAAAACAAAAAAACACTGACTTATGAGAATGAAATTAATCAGAAATTATCACTTCATAGGAGCAGGTAACTCAATTTGTAAATGTTGACATTAATACTCTAAAAAATTCCACTTCAGAGTGAAAGGAATATAAATGTGGCTGAACACTTTGATGCTGTACTACTTTGTGGGAATTTACTGCTTGGGAATTTATGCTTGCTGATGCCAATTTTCTCTTTCACCTTGCAAAGTTCAATAAATCATGGCCACTCTCTATACTCTATTACAGAGCAATCCTGTCATTTTAAACCACATCTGTAAACCACACAGAAAAGACAATAGCAGAAACACTCATTTTTAGGGATTTCAAACCCTAGAATCTTTGTATGATAAAGTGGTAAAATCCTAATGTTATGAAAATGACTAATTTATTAATATAATCTGAAACACTAGAAACTTATAAATTATTGTAACAGCTAACAGATACTACACTTGATCTTAGCCAAAAGGCGGAGAAGTGATGTATTTTAACAGTTAAATGAGTTTCTGCCTTATGTTCAGCCTTTTTATGTATTCAATATATACATAATACCATCTACCTACACACACACACACACACACACACACACACACACACAGAGATCAGTACATATGTAGTTTTGGAAACATTAAACATTTGAAAGTTTCCTAATTCCAAATATTATTTCAAACATTATTTGTCATATAGATCATGGCCAAAAATAAGGGAAACTCTATTACTTCTGCTATTTGGAATCATACAACTTTTTATTTTCTCCTTGAAAACACACTGTAAAAGCCCAAGGTTTTCATTTCAATATATACATTTTTTTCAATTGATTTTCCTATTTTATCAGCCAGCATTTGGACAACTTCCTAAACAAAGCTTCATTTTATAAGAGCAAATAATCATCTAGTCAGAATTTTGACAGGATAATTATTCAATGAATTAAACAGTAGTCTTAAGAGGCACTACTATGCCTAAGGAACATCCTGATCCTGTGATGACCAAGGTAAAGATTAAAGAATAAACTAAGAAGGGGAAATTTTACTATTGTATAATCTAGGTTCTGCTCAGCTTTTACTTTTTATGAGATATACTCACTTATGTCCAGAAAAATGTAATTAAAATTATAAAAATGCATATACACACATACACACACACACACGTACTAACCCTATTTCCAACACCAATTAATTTCAAATGCAATTTGGGTTCCAGAAATTTACATTTTCCTATTCCATGAAATTAGTCTAGGCAGTGATAACTAACCTACGGCATGTGTGCTAGGCTGTCTGTTATCACTATAAGGTAAAAGGTTTGCCATCACTGGTCTAGAGAATGAACATGAAAGTAAGTTACTAGTAACCAGTTTTTCAACTATGGTACATCATCCGTCATCTAAAACTGACCAAAATATAGAAATAGCACTTGAAGGGCTCCCTGTATAGTACCAGTTTTATTAAGGTCTTGTATAGATATGCCTTACTTTCTTATAGACATTCAATTTTAAAATGTAAATGGTACAGGATATTGATAAACCAATTAGCACTGATGCAAAGCAAATTCCTCTTTCATCTCAATTACAACATGACAACTTAATAGGTCAAGATAGTTTAACATCTGAGACAAGGGCAATTCAATAAAACAACAGCATCTTGATATGGTAATTAAGAGGAAATGTGAATCCATTACCATGTTTTTAAAAATATCTCAAATACTCTGGTTCTTTTTATTGCTTTTATCAAAAGGTATGATATGAAACACTACTCTGCTTTGTGATATATTTGGTGAGCAGTTTTGGGGAATGTAAAGAAAACATCTAAGTAAAGGATCTTGCTCATTAAGCATTTTCTAAGGTAAGAAATGTATATTTATTATATTCATGAAATATAAAACATTCAAAAACTTAATTAGGTGATTAATCATATGCAGCATTCTAACCCAAAAGAGTAAAGGCTAAAATTAAGATATTAACCTTAGGCATGCTAAAGGATGATCACATGTAGGAAAAACAGGATTCTTAAATCACTTAGGCAATCTATGAAGGACATTTTATTTTACAGGTATATTCTGATGCAAAGTAACCAAACCATACATGGGAAGTTAAAATGAAAATTATTCATATGAATTGTGACTTTAGGGATGCACTCCAGTTTATCTTGAGAATGAGTCAACAAAAACCCTTTTAATATGCAGATTTGTATCTATAAATAGATACATAAAACTAGTCACATGATAGCCAAACATTTAAATTCACTATACATTAAAACCATATTCCATACATATTTGTCCTGACACTAATAAAGAATGTTTAAATTTTACAGTAAAAGTTTTTCTTGCATTTCAAAATAACAGAAATGGAGCTTCCATATAAAAATGATAATATCACTTCAAATGCACAGTGCAATATATTTTATGGCTATGGCAAAGAGTACTCATGTTCTCCAGGGTCCTATTGTTTGTCCAATAAGCAAAGTCTATTAAAGTTCAATAATGAAGTACTTTCAATATGTCCCTGGATCAACTCATTCGTCTCTCATGAACATCAGTTTTTAACATCAGAAAATCAAATAAGAAAGCCAATAAAACTGTTAGTATATGAAAATGTACTATTCAACAAACCTGATTCCAAGATTCATAGTTTCAGCAGTTCCAATCATACTAATAGCTAACAGCATGTTGTTGCAGATCTTGGCAGCCTGAAAATAGAGCATATATTAAATGTCTTTATTTTCAAGTTATACGTCACAAGGAATTTTTCTTTGCTCAGTTTTATAGGGTTCTTTAGAAAAGAATCAAACGCTGATTCTCTCAGAGGAGAAGAATGTGGTAAGCACACCACATGCTGAGCCTTAACATTCCATATTAAGGCGCTGAGACTTAATATCCCACAGCAATTGGGGTATCTTGTCCTAGGTAATAAACACACAATGGTCACTGAACTCTTACTATGGAACTTCTACTCTAAGCAATACTGATCCATTGACACAACTGCTCTGTAAGGGATGGGGCTTACATCCAGTTGGGAAATGGGAGTAATATGCTCCTTGAATGGTAATGAATGAACAACAACAACAAAAAAAAACAGTGAAGTGATAATGTAGTGTATATAGTAGAGAAAATAAGGTAGAGACAAAAGGAATTCAGAGGAACAGATCACTAAAGGCAGGAACACAGAGGAGATAGAAACTGGTAACATCTCAGAAGACAGAACATAAATAGGCAAGAAAAAGAGAAGGAATCAGAGTAAAAGGTAAATGTATAAGAGGGCTGTGTGTGTGTGTGTGTGTGTGTGTGCGCGTGTGTGTGTGTGTAAAACGTGATGTTCCTGGAAGTACTAAGAAAATTATTCATATGTATGTTTTAAGGAATGGTGAGAAATGTGACAGTTAAGATTGTGTCAAAACTGCTTAAAAGCTAAATTATTTCATAGCTTATTTGATGGTCCAGAGAGTTAAAATTAGACATGGCATTAAACAACAATCTATACAAACTTTCTGAATGAGGAAGGATGATCATGATACAGCATCCTGATGGAAATGGTTTTGGTTATAGTGTTGGACAGTGATAAATTTGGCATCTAGAGACTCATAAGCAGTAAACTAGGAGGAATGGATAAGATGGTCAACAAGACTCACTAAAATAAAACTCAACAGAGCTTAGAGAATGCCTACATCAGAGTATGGAGGCAACAAATATAACAACAAAGTCTTGAATGAGACAAATACAGTGCTAGTGACTAGAATAAAAGCATTAAAAAGGAAGAACTGGGTGAATGTGTGTGTTAGGAGTGGAATAGGGTCAACTAGTTTGACTTCAGAGTTCAGAAGTGTCAATTACCTACTGTCTCTAAATGAAAATTATTTGCTTTTCAAGAAAAACATTAAAGCACATAGGTTACTTCTACCTGACTATACTACAAACAGAGTAATCAGTAAGTAATTACAAAGTTCGATAGAGAAAAGTAGCCATTTAGCTAACATAAGCACTTCAAATAGAAGCAGTTTATAAAATTAACTCAGTACTCATTTGGATGATATGTCAATATCCCAATGATGGAACTTTTGGTATTTCTTTAAAATAAGAACTCTGGCTGACATTTGCTTAACCCACTGGAAATGATGGAAAAGTAATTAATTCTAAATTAAATTAGGAAAATCTGAGCAAAGGGTCCATAGGTTGAACAGAGTAAGAGTAAAGTTAGGAAAGAGAAAGGAACACAAGCCAATTTTACATTATCTTGTCAAGGTCATTAATGTGACAATGTTACCTGCCCAGTCCCAACAGCTCCGCAATATACCACATTGGAGCCCATGCATCCCAGCAATTCTTTGGCAGCAGCAAATTCATCTTCAACTCCTCCCACCATAAATGTGAGGTTCCCAGATCGTGCAGCTCCTACACCTGAATCATTTGGGGACAAAGAATTAGAAGCAAAAGGATATATTTTTTAACATTTAAAAATAAATAATCATACTAGAAGAAAATCCCAAAACCCAATAAAAACAGCCTGCTTCTAGTTATTTATGTCAGGCATGTATAAGATACTTTAAATCTCCCCAAAGCAAAATAGAGATCTAGTCATATTCTCATTCTTAAGTTATCTTAAATGCTTTGGCACAATTGTGGCACAAGTAAATTTATAAGTTTGCAATGTGGATTTTATTCTAATTCATCTACCATTCTAACTCAGTAATAGAAGTACACAAAAATGGTCTACCTTGCCTCTGACCTGCACACCACTGCTACGGGGGCTGTTGCCCCAGCTTGGATTTTAGGTCTCTAATTTATTCCCTCTACAAATACTATCTAGATATGAGATCCACACAGAAAGAGTCCCGTTCTTTGGCCATAAAAAAATAAGCATTTTAGGCAGTAAGATTATTTTTAAAGGGAAAGAAAGCTGTTATTTAGATTGATTATTCTTGTGTTCACTTTCCAATTATTATTTGATTTTCTGTTTCCTTCCTGCTATTCATATTTTTTGGGCAAATCATTTCTAGTGATACAAGAAGAAATAAACATTAACATTGGATTGGTTATTTTTCAGCAGCTTTTAACAAAGGTTTAATGCACATTCATCAATTGAAATGACTGAAGAAACAATTTCTAATTTAGTACTGAAAATTTGGCATAGGCTTGTCTTAGGAGGTAGAGAGCCTCCCTATTATTAACTATAAAATAAAATCAAGAGTATTATTACTGTTCTTAGCACTGAGGTAAATCTTCATTTGTAATTTTCAAGTTAGATTTGGCTCAAATACAGGAAAGTATGTGGAAAAGCAATTATTAGTACTACTTTTATCTTTATAATTTATTTTATAGTACACCTAGAAATAAACCATAATTATACTAAATATCAAACGGCCATTAGATAGCTTCAAGGAATGACCTACTTTTGAATTTAATGTATTAAATAAAATACAGTTTTTACACACTTTTTTTAAAAAAGCTCAAGTAAGAGCTTCATTCAAATTGTGAATGTCTTACTGCCATACTGCCAAAACAAGAAGTTTTCTCTTTTATGGTTAATACTATTTTTAACCAATTATTAAAAGCAAAAGAAGTTGGTATTATGTCAGCCAAACAATTTGGAAGAGTGAGTGCCCACATGTTATGACACCTGAAATGCTTACAATAATAAATTACATTACTTCACCGTAATCTTCACATATACTTTAAAATGGGTTACATATGTATAAAAACCCAATTATAAGGTCTGGGGAGATAGCTCAGTGTTACAGAGCTTGCCTAGCATGTGTGAGGCCTTGGGTTTGATCCACAGTACTGAAAAAAAACCAAAACAAAACTAATTATAAAAAATGCTATCTGTTAACTGATCTATGTCATTTGATCATCCTGATATTACTACTAAGTAACCAATTGTACTAATTTATAATCATAAATGCTTTATAATTATTTAGTTAGATTTTCATTAAATCTCCATAACCACCTTTCTCCTGATCCTGTTGCTTGGACCTAGAGAAATTAAGCAGACAATTTAAGTCAAAGCTTACAAACAAATCCAGTACTATCCATCAGAGGTCAACAGCTTTGTCTCTAGATTAGAGACTGCTAAATAGCTTCAGAAGATCATTTATTAAAGGAAAATTAATGCTGACAATGGTTCTCAGCTGGTTAATCTTTTGACAAGTGCTTTTTCTCAATTGTTCAAACACATATTTCAAAAAGAAAAAGTTAAGCAAGAGAAGACTACAAAAAGGATAGTTTAATTCTGAAACCTGAAGTATTTTCACTCTTTCCTCTTTCAATGTGATGATGTAATTATTTCCAACTTTATCATATCCCACACCCTAATGTAAGGATCTGACTAAAATGGGCAATTCTAAAGTTTGGAATCTCTTGGGACTAAATCCTATCTTCCTGTACATATTTCTTTAGCAGTATAATAGTATTAGGCCTTGTCCCATGACAAGACTACAGTAAAAGAAACAACCGTTTTGAACTTAAGGATATCCAGAAAGCTGGAACTCAAAAGCTGTGCCAGACACTTAATGGACTTCAGAAAACACTGTATAGATTTTTATATCTATTAATAATAATCACTATATTTATTATCCTGTCGTCAAGTCCATTTTCCAAAGTAGGAAAACATGGAATGTACACTCAGGTATCTGTTGTAATAACAGGAGAAGTATTTACATGTTGAACAGAATAAGCATTTATAGGTTTGGATTCTAATCCAAAAGTATGAAATCTGAAATTCTCAAAGTTCAAATATTTTTAGCACTAACATGACACTACAAGTAGAAAATTCTATACTTGACCTTACATGATGGTTTGCTGTTAAAATGCAGGAACACTGAAAATATTGTGTAAAATTACCTTTAGAATATATATGTAAGATATATAAGAACTATAAATTAATTCCATCTTTAGACTTGGGCCCCAAACCGTGGTAAGTCATTATGTGTATGCAAATATTTCAAAATCTGAAAAAATGTAAATAATTTATAGACCTGAGCATTTTAGATAGTAGTACTCAATTTATATTTTGTTATATGTTAATAAATACATAACCAAAATATACTGTTTAACTTTATTACATCATTTATCATACTTATTGAAAACTTTTGATTTTTCTCTCATGGTTCCTCCTTCAAGGTCAGCACTGGCAGGCATCTTGTTTATGTCAGATTCCTACATATCTACCACAGTATATGATACGTATTCAATAAATTGGGAAATATAATAAGCACAACAGAGTAAAGAATCTGGAAATGTAATACCTAGTTTGTAAAATACACTATTTGCTGGCTATGTGATTGTACACAAAATTACTTCTAAATCTCAATATATAAAATGAGAAGTGCACAATAATTTCTCCGTAGAGTGGCTGTGAATATGCATACATATGCAATAAAATTAAAATAACATTTAAGTGCAAGGGCTTACTATTTTATAACCTGGATTCGTGAGGTGGGTGTGTTTTTCTATTTGTTTATCTAAGTCACTGTTCTCTCTAGGAACATTTTAACCTTGATTGCTAAATAGTAACTGGCTTGGATTAAACTTAGAAACAACAGAAGCAGTCAGGCCCAGGTTAAGAAGTCCATGGCCAGTGATGCTACAATTATGTCACAGTGGAGACCTCTACAAAGTCTCTCAAAGGTAGCAGAGTATATGGGAAAAAGATGAGAATTTGTTTTATTCATTCATTCAATTACCCAGCCACCTCCTAAGTATCAGGCCCTGTGGTTTCCGCTAGGGTGATGGCTGAATCACAGCTGTCTGTTCCTGAGGAGTTATCCTCCTGTGATCTGGCCACCTCTCTCCTTGTCCATCATTAATCTGGGCCACATGACATTTCCTACCTGGACTACTTTGCCTTTCTGTTCTTGCCTTCAGTCTTTTCCCCATACTGTAGCCAGAGCAATTTTAAACATAATTCTAGTGCATGTTTCTTCTCTCTTCTCAACTTTCCAAAGGCATCCCATCACCCTCGGTATAAAATTTCAATTTCTACAAGTTCTTGTTTTGTTTTTGTCTCTCTCTCCGTTTTTTTTTTTTTTTTTTTTTTTTTTTTTT